TTTTCTTATCAGGCCGATACCGATAACAGAAAAAATGAGCCGATATGGGCCGATACCGATATGGTGGCCGATATATCGTGCATCCCTAAAAAAAACATATAGATAACAAGATTTTTTTACCATCTGTAACAATTTTCTATTTTTAATACAATATTTATAACTGAACACGAATCAATGAACAAAATTTTGTGACTATGGCACGTACTGCCTTGAGATCGAGCTGAAACAGAACAAAAGTAAAGGCCTATTGGCTACAACTAGACGGCAAACGCTAAGACCCTTCTCCGCTCTTCAGACACACACACAAAATATTTGCCTTTACAGACATAGTGTTTCAGTAAAGAAAACGCTGCACTTATTCAAACATCAGTTATTTATTTACCCTTGCATTGCGAATAAGCGGAAATCGGTCTCCAGGCTGTGCGAGGCACTTCATTCTGAATGGAGGCGGGGTGGAGTTATGAGGTTTCGTTGACAGTTTGAGGATCAAATGACGTTACAAACTTTAGTGACAAGCTCTTTTGAATGCTTGTCATTGGAAAAATATTTGTAAAACCCTCAGACATAAGAAAGATCAATAGCACTGATTTAAAATAATAATAACAAAATAAATAGAGATATGAAGTTTGGATAATTTTCCACGGCACATCTGACTGGGCTACGGTATGGCGACTGCCATACTCTGCCATACGGAAACGCCACCCCTGGACACAGGAAAATTGTGAGTAATGGCTGAACATGTTTGAAAGCGTCTTTCAGACAGACCTTGGACTCGACATCCGCGTTGTGGTCATTCTGAAGGAGCAGAGCAGCAGATTTGGTGTCATCCTTGCGGGCAGCGATGTGGAGTGCAGGCAGACGGACTTTACCTTTCGTGTCGTTCTCTAACAACAGAGAAACCACCTGATCATGACCCTGCTGTAGGGCTACGGCTAACGGCGTAAAGCCATCCTAAAGAGAGGAAGAGAATCAGGCTTAATTATCAATTCATATACCTCATTTTACATTTATTACTGTATTTTGTTTCACAATATATACAATACCATTTGTAAACACTGCTCTAAACTAAAGGTTTGGGGTCAGTAAGACTTTTTTGAAAGAATACTTTTATTCAGCAGCTATGCATTAAATTGGTCAAAAGTGAAAGTAAAGACATATACTTTATTTAAAAAAATACTGAAAAAACTATAATGGTTTCCACAAAAAAAAGAAGCAGAACAACTTTTTTCAACATTGATAATATTAAGAAGTGATTACCAAATCAGCATATTAGATTGATTTCTAAAAGGTCATGCAACACTGAAGACTGAAGTAATGGCTGCTGATAATTCAGCTTTGCTGTCACAGAAATAAATTACATTTTGAAATATTTATTTTAAATTTAAATAACATTAAATAATATTATGCAATAATTCACAATATTACTGTTTTACTGCATTTTTGTTCAAAATACAGCCTAAGTAAGCATAAGAGACTACATTCAAAAACATAAAAAATCTTACCACAAAACTTTTACCGTTATATATATTTATATATTGTGAGAAAAAGATATGTGAGGAGTAGGAAGCACGTATCTGTGAACTGCTCAAGGTGGCTCTGGCTTACCTCAGTAATCAATAAAATACTCACACACGCGCGTGCACGCACTCACACACACACACACACACACACCTCTGTGGCAATGCTCTGGCTGGAGTTGTTCTCCAGGAGGAAGCGCACCACATCCTGATGGTTTTCCTGTGCAGCCATGTAAAGTGGGGTAAAGCCATTCTGAAACAAACATTACATTAATGTTATATATACATTTGAATGATTTCTTTAATTTTACTATGGCACAGATACAGAAATGGGACATTGAGACCTACAAAATGTTATCATAATTCTCTAGCATACATTTAATACGGAGAAAGTGCTGTTGTCACATGAGAACAAAATGTAACTCTTTGGCATCAACTCGACTTGCTGTGTTTGGAGGGAGAGAAATGCTGACTATGACCCCAAGAACACCATCCTAGTCAAGCATGGGGGTGGATACATTATGATTTGGGGCTGTTTCTCTGCTATGGGTACAGGATGACTTCACCACATTGAACGACCAATGAACGGGGCCATGTACCGTAAAATTCTGGATGAGAACCTCCTTCTCTCAGCCAGAACACTGAAGATGGGTCATGGATGATGGGTCTTCCAGCATGACAATGACCCAAAAAGAAGCACATTAAGGTCATGGAGTGGTCTAGCCAGTCCCCAGACCTTAATTCAATAGAAAATCTGTGGAGTGAGCTAAAACATTGAGTTGCCAAGAAACCTTAAGGATTTAGAGAGAATCTTTAAAGAGGAGTGGAACAAAATCCCTCCTGAGATGTGTGCAAACCTGGTGACCAACTAAAAGACACGTCTTACCTCTGTGCTTGCCAACAAGAGTTTCTCCACCAAGTTTTGCTTGGGGATCAAATACTTACTTGACTCACTGAAATGCAAATCAATTTATAACCTTTGTACAGTGTTTTTTTCTGGATTTTTTGCTTGATATTCTCTCTATCCGTTAAAATAAACCTACCATAAAAATTATAGACCCTTCATTTCTTTGTAAGTGGGCAAACTTACAAAATCAGTAGGGGATCAAATAATTATTTTCCCCACTGTGTGTCTTAGCATTTTATCTTTGAGTTCAAAATCTGGTTCTTTTCATTTTATGTGTAAATGTCTAATTCAAATGGTGTTAGTTTTGTGATGGCAAACAGTAACTTCCTTGCTCCTTTGACACAAAAAGCCATGTAGACAAACTCCCATGCAAAAAACAAAACATTCTTATTCCATTTACTGAAACTAAATCTGTAAAAATGCATCATTCAGACATACAGCCATAAGCACATTAACATATGACTGCTCACATGAACAAACATCAATTCTGTAATAATACTGAGCAACAATCCAATATGCAAAAATCGACTATATCTTTTTAAAGGTCATAGAGAAGATAAAAACAATAATGAAAAATCTAATTATGATTTATTTGGCACAAAAGAATCTGATCTGCCACAAAAATGACACAATAAAAGGCTGCAAAGGTATAGAATATGTCCCTTTTTACCAGTGTTTACATCTGTATGTACTGTGTTGAGCTCAGTGCAGGAAATAGTATTATTACTGGCACTCTAGTAATTTAGGTGGCCTTCATAACTTACTGAGCTCAGGTTTAAAGCAGTGTGTGTGTGTGTGTGTGTGTGTGTGTGTATTTGGGTGCTCATTGGCTGGTCATCTAAAATAGAAACAGATTAAGAGTGTACATGAGCTGCCTTGCAGGAATGTTGGATGATCCAACCCAATGATTATGTGTGTGTGTGCATATAAAAGTTTGTGGAGTCTCAAGTGTGTACCTGGCTCTGTGCATTGACGTTGGCCCCATTGGTCACTAGCTCTCTCACCACTTCCGTCTGTCCCGCCAGTGAGGCGATGTGCAGCGCTGTGTTTCCTTTCTGGAAAGATGGAGAAACAACAGTGAGAGAGAATGAGCGGCATCTCTCGATTAATCTCTCCACCACCTGTTTGTATCACCCCCATCTAATGGACGCTTTTGTCCCACTGGCGTCCCCCCAACCACCATTCCATCCCCTCTGCCAGAGAGGTGTTGTTTCCGCTGGCCTGTAATTTACCTCCACACACACACACTTCATTCCTGTTGAGTGAATGCAGCACTAGAGGCTTTTTATACCCAGCGTGAACATGCTCACAGGAGCAGAGAACACCATGTGATATCAAACACAGATACAAACATCTCCTCGAGCTGGAGGCTCAGAGTGTGTGTGTCTGTGTGGGTCAAACTGACCTTGGTTGCTGCATCTACGTTGGCGCACAGTTTGAGCAGCTCGGCCACCACATCCACATGCCCCTCTTTGGACGCCAGGTGCAATGCATTCAACCCATTCTGAAACACAAAATGCAAGTTCTGCTAGTGAACAGTATGGATGTGGTTGTCTGCCAGACAGGAGCAGTCCAGTATAAACCAGCCTGGACCAGAATGGTCTTTTTTCTTTTTGAAATAAGTTTTTTAGGCTTACAGAGGCTGCATTTTATTTGATTAAAAATGCAGTAAAAATATTAATATTTTGAAATATTATTACGATAACGCCAGTCTTCAGTGTTACATGATCCTTCAGAAATCATTTTAATATGCGGATTTTGTGTTCAAGAACCATTTCTTATTATTATTATTAATGTTGAAAATACTTAACAATTTATCTTCAGGAATATTTGAATAGAAAGTTATTTGAATATAATGTTAAAGAACAGCATTAAGCAGCATTAACAGCATAAAAATCACTTTACTGTCATTCTTCCTCTCTTCTGACA